AGGGACACAGGGAGAGAGGGACACGAGGGACAGGGAGAGAGGGACACGAGGGACAGGGAGAGAGGGACAGGGAGAGAGGGACACGAGGGACACAGGGAGAGAGGGACACGAGGGACAGGGAGAGAGGGACATGTGGGACCGGGAGAGAGGGACACGAAGGACACGAGGAGAGAGGGACATGAGGGACAGGGAGAGGGATATGAGGGACAGGGAGAGAGGGACACGAGGGACAGGGAGAGAGGGACACCAGGAGAAAGGGACATGAGGGACACAGGGAGAGAGGGACACGAGGGACAAGGAGAGAGGGACATGAGGGACAGAGAGAGAGGGACACAAGGGACAGGGAGAGGGACACAGAGCAGGGGTGGATCAGGTGATTCTCAGGTGGTGCTCAGGTGGTGCTCAGGTGATGCTCAGGTGAAGCTCAGGTGATGCTCAGGTGACATTTTCTGGTGACGCTCTGACGTGATGGCCCCAGGCGAAGTTCAGGGGATGCTCTCAGGTGATGTTGGCTCAGGTCATGTTCCGGTGATGCTCAGGTGATGCTCCCAGGTGTTGCCCAGGTGATTCCCAGGTGATTCCCAGGTATTTCCCAGGTATTTCCTGGGACACATGGATTCCCTCCCATGGATCCCTGTCCATGGATCCCGCCCATGGATCCCTCTCCATGGATCCCTCTCCATGGATCCCTCTCCATGGATTCCTCCCATGGATCCCTGTCCATGGATCCCTCTCCATGGATCCCTCCCATGGATCCCTCTCCATGGATCCCTCTCCATGGATCCCTCTCCATGGATCCCTCTCCATGGATCCCTCTCCATGGATCCGTCCCATGGATCCCTCTCCATGGATCCCTCCCATGGATCCCTCCCATGGATCCCTCTCCATGGATCCCTCCCATGGATCCCTCTCCATGGATCCCTCCCATGGATTCCCTCCCATGGATCCCTCCCATGGATCCCTCTCCATGGATCCCTCTCCATGGATCCCTCCCATGGATCCCTCTCCATGGATCCCTCTCCATGGATCCCTCTCCATGGATCCCTCCAATGGATCCCTCTCCATGGATCCCTCCCATGGATCCCTCTCCATGGATCCCTCTCCATGGATCCCTCCCATGGATCCCTCTCCAACAATTCCACTCCCATCTCCCAGGAAAGAGACAGGAAAAATAGGAAAAAGAAGGAAAGGAGGAAAAAAACGTTTTTAAAAATGAAAACGAGGAAAATGGTAAAATGAGAAAGAAAAAGAAATTAAGAAAGAGAAGGGACGGAAAAACCGTTGGAGAGGAATTGGAAAAGGAAAGGAAAAGGGAAAAACTGAAAGGAAAAAAGAAAAGGAAAAAAGAAAGAAAAGGAAGAAGAGGAAGGGAAAGTAAAATATTAAGGAAAGGAAAAGATAAAGGGAAAGGAAGAAAAGGAGGAAAATGAGGAAGAAAGAAAGAGGAAGGGAAAGTGGGAAAGAGAAGGAAAGGGAAGGTGAGAAAAAGAAGGAAAAGTGATCAGGAAGGAATTGGAAAAGGAAAGGGAAAAGTAAAAGGAAATAAGAAAAGAAAAAAAGGAAGAAGAGGAAGAAGGGGAAAGAAGAGGAAGGGATAGAAAAATGATATGGAAAGATAAAGGGAAAGGAGGGAAAGGGAAAAGGAGAAAAAGGAAGAAAGGGAAGAAAAGATGGAAAAGGAAAAAATGAGAATGAAGAAAGAGAATGGGAAAGTAAGAAAGAGAAGGAGAAGGGAAAGGGAATGGAAAGGGAGAGGGAAAGGGAATGGAAAAGGAAATGGAAAAGGGAAAGGGAAAGGGAAAGGAAAAGGAAAAGGAAAAGGAAAAAAAGAAAAAAGGAAAAGGAAAAGGAAAAGGAAAAAAGAAAAAAGGAAAAGGAAAAAGAAAAGGAAAAAAGAAAAAAGGAAAGGAAAATATAAAAAAGGGAAAGGAAAAGGAAAAAAGAAAAAAGGCAAAGGAAAAGGAAAAAAGGAAAAGGGAAAAATGAAAAGGATAAGGAAAAGGAAAAAAGAAAAAAGGAAAAGGGAAAGATAAAAAAGGAAAAGGGAAAGAAAAAGGAGAAGGAGAAAAAAAAGGAAAAAAGAAAAAAAGAAAAAAGAAAAGGAAAAGATAAAAAAGGGAAAGGGAAAGGAAAAGAAAAAGGAGGGAAAAAAAGGGAAAGGGAAAGGGAAAGGAAAAAAGAAAAAAGGAAAAGGAAAAGGAAAAATGGAAAAGGGAAAGGAAAAGGAAAAAAGGAAAAGATAAAAAAGGAAAAGGGAAAGGAAAAAGAAAAGGAGAAGGAAAAGGAAAAAAGAAAAAAGGAAACAGAAAAGGAAAAGGACAAGGAAAAGGAAAAGGAAAAAAGAAAAGAAGGAAAAGGAAAAGGAAAACAGGAAAAGGAAAAGGAAAAAAAGAAAAAAAGGAAAAGGAAAAGATAAAAAGGAAAAGGGAAAGGGAAAGACAAAAAAGGAAAAGGAAAACGGAAAGGAAAAGGAAAAGGAGAAGGAAAAGGAAAAAAGAAAAAAAGAAAAAAGGAAACGGAAACACAGCAAAGGAACAGGAGGACAGGGCCCGGAAACGGCACAGCCGCTCCCGCTGCCCTCCCCACGGCCGGCTCTGGCCCTCCCCACGGCCGCGGCTCCCCGGGGTCCCTCCGGCGGCCGGTCCGATCGGGATTTATCCCAAATCCCTCCGCACGGCGGGATAACGGGGCACGGCGGGTTAGGGGGCACGGCGGGATAACGGGACACGGCGGGATAACGGGGCACGGCGGGATAACGGGGCACGGCGGGATAACGGGGCACGGCGGGATAACGGGGCACGGCGGGATAACGGGGCACGGCGGGATAACGGGCACAACTGTTCCGGGCTGGGGGCGGGGACACACCCGGGGGGCAAACCGGGGCACCGGGACAGGGACGGGGTGACAGGGACAGGGGTGACAGGGGACAGGGGACAGGGGGTGATGGGTGACAGGGAGTGACAGGGGGTGACAGGGGGTGACGGGGACAGGGGGTGACAGGGGGTGACAGGGGGTGACAGGGGACAGGGGGTGACAGGGGACAGGGGGTGACAGGGACAGGGGGTGACAGGGGACAGGGGGTGACAGGGGACAGGGGGTGACAGGGGACAGGGGGTGACAGGGACAGGGGGTGACAGGGGACAGGGGGTGACAGGGGGTGACAGGGGACAGGGGGTGACAGGGGACAGGGGGTGACAGGGGACAGGGGGTGACGGGTGACAGGGGTGACAGGGGACAGGGGGTGACAGGGGACAGGGGGTGACAGGGGGTGACAGGGGGTGACAGGTGACAGGGGTGACAGGGGACAGGGGGTGACGGGGGACAGGGGGTGACAGGGGGTGACAGGGGACAGGGGGTGACAGGGGACAGGCGGTGACAGGGGACAGGCGGTGACAGGCGGTGACGGGGGACAGGCGGAACGCTCGGCCCTGGAATCCCTGATTTCCCATCTGCGGAGAGCCGGGGATGGGAATTTTGGGAATTTTCCCAAACCCGGGGATGGGGAAGGTGTCCCCACCCCAAAGTCGTCACAGCGTTCCCAGAGGAGAACCCAGGCAGGAAAAGGAAAAGGAAAAGGAAAAGGAAAAGGAAAAGGAAAAGGAAAAGGAAAAGGAAAAGGAAAAGGAAAAGGAAAAGGAAAAGGAAAAGGAAAAGGAAAAGGAAAAGGAAAAGGAAAAGGAAAAGGATCCCTGGGAGTGTCCCAGGAAAGGTTGGAGGGAGCCTGGAGCAGCCTGGGGGGGTGGAAGGAGTCGGGGTTGGAACGGGAGGGGATTTGGGGTCCCTTCCCACCCAACCACGCCGTGATCCCGGGAAAAAGGACGCTCAGAATCCATTCAGAGGGATTTTTATGGAATTCGGGGATGGAAAAGGGAAGGGAGACCCTTCCTGGAGTCCTGAGAGTCCAAGTGAAGCCCCTGGATCCCAAAATTCCTTCTCCAGGAGGAATCGGGGTGGGGATGGATCCAATGCCAGGCTGGGAGAGCCGGGAATGTTCCCCTGGATCAGGGAAGGATCCAGGGAATCCTTGGAGCCGCTTCCCGATCCCAAAGGGGCTCCAGGAGAGCTGGAATTTGGGGAAGGGCTGGAGGGGCAGGAGCCAGGGAATGGAATTCCCAGTGGGAAAGGGGAGCTTGGGATTTTGGGATCTGGGGAAGGAATTCCGGCTGGGCTGGAATTCCCAGAGAATCCCTGGATCCCTGGCAGTGCCCAAGGGTGGATTTGGATCACCCCGGGATCCTGGGAAGTGTCCCTGGGATGGGATTGGAGCTCCATGGATCCCACCCAAACCATTCCGGGATTCTGGGATCGAGGACACTCAGGATCCATCCCGAGGGATTTTATGGAATTCAGGGATGGAAAAGGGAAGGGAGACCCTTCCTGGAGTCCTGAGAGTCCAAGTGAAGCCCCTGGATCCCAAAATTCCTTCTCCAGGAGGAATCGGGATGGGGATGGATCCAATGCCAGGCTGGGAGAGCCGGGAATGTTCCCCTGGATCAGGGAAGGATCCAGGGAATCCTTGGAGCCGCTTCCCAATCCCAAAGGGGCTCCAGGAGAGCTGGAATTTGGGGAAGGGCTGGAGGGGCAGGAGCCAGGGAATGGAATTCCCAGCGGGAAAGGGGAGCTTGGGATTTTGGGATCTGGGGCAGGAATTCCCGGCTGGGCTGGAATTCCCAGTGGGAAAGGTTGGAGCTTGGGATTTTAGGATCTTGGGGAGGAATTCCCGGCCGGGCTGGAATTCCCAGTGGGAAAGGGGAGCTTGTGGATTTTGGGATCTTGGGATGGAATTCCCGGCTGGGCTGGAATTCCCAGAGAATCCCTGGACCCCTGGCAGTGCCCAAGGGTGGGTTGGAGCACTCCAGGATGTGCTGAGCTCGGAATGGGATGAGCTCCCACCCACTCCCTTCAGCATCCCGCACTTCTCCCACATTTCCCGCCGGTTTTTCCCGCTCCCAATTCCCGCCGGGACACCGGATCCAACCCCGCTGTCCGTGTCCCCGCAGGCTACGGGCACGCGGCGCCCAGCACGGACGGCGGGAAGGTTTTCTGCATGCTCTACGCGCTGCTGGGCATCCCCCTGACCCTGGTGATGTTCCAGAGCCTGGGCGAGCGCATCAACACGCTGGTGCGCTCGCTGCTGCGCCGCCTCAAGCGGCGCCTGGGCATGCGGCGGCCCGAGGTGTCCATGGCCAACATGGTGACCATCGGCTTCTTCTCCTGCGTCGGCACGCTGTGCGTCGGCGCCGCCGCCTTCTCGCACTACGAGAACTGGAGCTTCTTCCAGGCCTACTACTACTGCTTCATCACGCTGACCACCATCGGCTTCGGCGACTACGTGGCGCTGCAGAAGGACCAGGCCCTGCAGACGCAGCCGCAGTACGTGGCCTTCAGCTTCGTCTACATCCTCGCCGGGCTGACGGTCATCGGCGCCTTCCTCAACCTGGTGGTGCTGCGCTTCATGACCATGAACGCCGAGGACGAGCGCCGCGACGCCGAGCAGCGGGCGCTGCTGGGCCGGGCCGCTCGCTGCGGTGGCGCCGCGGCCTCTGTCCCCGAGGTCACCGCGGTGACCCCGGCCGAGAGCGGCTTGCGGAACGTCTACGCCGAGGTGCTGCACTTCCAGTCGGTGTGCTCGTGCCTGTGGTACAAGAGCCGCGAGAAGCTGCAGTATTCCATCCCCGTCATCATTCCCAGGGATTTGTCCGGCTCGGACGCGGGTGTCGAGCGGAGCCGTTCCTCGCCGGCGCGGTGCCCCGGGACGCCGGAGCAGCGCTGCTTGTGCCGCTCGGCCATCAGCTCCGTGTCCACCGGCCTGCAGAGCCTGGTGGCGTTCCCGGCCTTGGCCAAGCGCCGCAGCTCCGTGTAGCGCCCGAGCCGCGATCCCACCGCGATGGGCAACGACGCCGTCCCGCTCGGCTGCGGGTGGGTTTTAATTTAAAACCGCTTGGATTTTTAATTTCACACACAAAAAACCCAAAAAAACCCAAAAAAACCCAAAAAAACCAACCCCAAAACTCATTCCTTGAAAATGTGAAACGTGGGAGAGTGGCGGAATTTTAATTTCACACACAAAAACCAAAAAACAACCCAAAAAAAACCAACCCCAAAACCCACTCCTTGAAAATGTGAAACTTGGGAGAGCGGCGGAATTTTAATTTCACACACAAAAAACCCAAAAAACCCCAAAAAAACCCCCCAAAGAAACAACCCCAAAACCAACTCCTTGAAAATGTGAAACTTGGGAGAGCGGCGGAATTTTAATTTCACACACAAAAAACCCCCAAAAAACCCAAAAAAACCCAAAAAAACCAACCCCAAAACACACTCCTTGAAAATGTGAAACTTGGGAGAGCGGCGGAATTTTAATTTCACACACAAAAAACCCAAAAGAAACCAAAAAAAAACCCCAAAAAAACCCAACCCCAAAACCCACTCCTTGAAAATGTGAAACTTGGGAGAGCGGCGGAATTTTAATTTCACACACAAAAAACCAAAAAACAACCCAGAAAAAACCCAAAAAACCAACCCCAAAACCCACTCCTTGAAAATGTGAAACTTGGGAGAGCGGCGGAATTTTAATTTCACACACAAAAAACCAAAAAAACCCCAAAAAAAACCCCCCAAAGAAACAACCCCAAAACCCACTCCTTGAAAATGTGAAACTTGGGAGAGCGGCGGAATTTTAATTTCACACACAAAAAAACCCAAAAAAACCCCAAAAAAACCCAAAAAAACCAACCCCAAAACCCACTCCTTGAAAATGTGAAACTTGGGAGAGCGGCGGAATTTTAATTTCACACACAAAAAACCAAAAAAACCCCAAAAAAACCCCAAAAAAACCAACCCCAAAACCCACTCCTTGAAAATGTGAAATGTGGGAGAGCGGCGGAATTTTAATTTCACACACAAAAAAACCCAAAAAAACCCAAAAAAACCAACCCCAAAACCCACTCCTTGAAAATGTGAAACTTGGGAGAGCGGCGGAATTTTAATTTCACACACAAAAAACCAAAAAACAACCCAAAACCCACTCCTTGAAAATGTGAAACTTGGGAGAGCGGCGGAACCTCGGAACCGGTTTTGGCCTCTCCACGTTCCGATCCTCGGGAATTCCTCGGGAATTCCTCGGGAAGCGCGGAAGGACACGGAAATCAGGCCAAGAGGGGCTTAGCGGAGCTTTTCCACGTCAGAAACCATCGGAGTCACGCGGCTGCTCCAAACCCGGATTTGGGGCTGTTTCCACCCAAATCCGCAGCGGGACAGAGATGGGGGTGCTCGGGGTTAGCGGGAATCGCCCACGGGAGGCGGCGATCCCACGGATTGGGAAGTTATTTTGGGGGAAATTTGGGATATTTTCCCTTTGGATCCCCGTTTCTATCCTCCTCAAGGCTCCAGGGATGGAATTGTTCCTCCTGGGAAGTTATTTTGGGGGAAATTTGGGATATTTTCCCTTGGGATCCCCATTCCCGTTCTCCTCAAGGTTCCAGGGATGGAATTGTTCCTCCTGGGAAGTTATTTTGGGGAAAAATTGGGATATTTTCCCATGGAATCCCCATTTCCCTTCTCTCCAAAGCTCTGGGGACAGAGTTGTTCCTCCTGGGAAGTTATTTTGGGGAAAAATTGGGATATTTTCCCGTGGAATCTCCATCTCCATCCTCCCCAAGGCTCCAGGGATGGAATTATTCCCCTCAGAGTGACATTTTGGGGGAAATTTGGGATATTTTCCCCTTGGATCTCCATCTCCATCCTCCCTAACGCTCCAGGGATGGAATTGTTCCTCCTGGGAAGTTATTTTGGAGGAAATTTGGGATATTTTCCCATGGAATCTCCATCTCCATCCTCCCCAAGGCTCCAGGGATGGAATTGTTCCTCCTGGGAAGATATTTTGGGGAAATTTGGGATATTTTCCCGTGGGATCCCCGTCTCCATCTTCCCTGAGGCTCCAGGGATGGAATTGTTCCTCCTGGGAAGTTATTTTGGAGGAAAATTGGGATATTTTCCCATGGGATCTCCATCTCCATCCTCCCCAAGGCCCCAGGGATGGAATTGTTCCTCCTGGGAAGTTATTTCAGGGAAAATTTGGGATATTTTCCCATGGGATCCCCGTCTCCATCCTCCCCAAGGCTCCAGGGATGGAATTGTTCCTCCTGGGAAGTTATTTGGGGAAAAATTGGGATATTTTCCCATGGAATCCCCATTTCCATCCTCCCCAAGGCTCCAGGGATGGAATTGTTCCTCCTGGGAAGTTATTTTGGGGGAAATTTGGGATATTTTCCCGTGGAATCTCCATCTCCATCCTCCCCAAGGCTCCAGGGATGGAATTATTCCCCTCAGAGTGACATTTTGGGGGAAATTTGGGATATTTTCCCACAGAATCTCCATCTCCATCCTCCCTAAGGCTCCAGGAATGGAATTATTCCCCTCAGAGTGGCATTTTGGGGGAAATTTGGGATATTTTCCCATGGGATCTCCATTTCCATCCTCCCCAAGGCTCCAGGGATGGAATTGTTCCTCCTGGGAAGTTATTTTGGGGAAATTTGGGATATTTTCCCATGGGATCTCCATCTCCATCCTCCCCAAGGCTCCAGGAATGGAACTGCTCCACCTGGGAAGTTATTTTGGGGGAAATTTGGGATATTTTCCTGTGGGATCCTCGTTTCCATCCTCCCCAAGGCTCCAGGGATGGAATTGTTCCTCCTGGGAAGTTATTTTGGGGGAAATTTGGGATATTTTCCCTTGGGATCCCCATTTCCCTTCTCTCCAAAGCTCTGGGGACAGATTTGTTCCTCCTGGGAAGTTATTTCAGGGAAAATTTGGGATATTTTCCCATGGAATCTCCATTTCCATCCTCCCCAAAGCTCCAGGGATGGAATTGCTCCTCCTGGGAAGTTATTTTGGGGGAAATTTGGGATATTTATCCGTGGGATTCCCGACTCCATCCTCCCCAAGGCTCCAGGGATGGAATTGCTCCTTCTGGGAAGTTAATTTGGGGGAAATTTGGGATATTTTCCTGTGGGATCCCCGTCTCCGTCCCCCCCAAGGCTCCAGGGATGGAATTGTTCCTCCTGGGAAGTTAATTTGGGGGAAATTTGGGATATTTTCCCGTGGGATCCCCGTCTCCGTCCTCCCCAAGGCTCCAGGGATGGAACTGCTCCTTCTGGGAATTTATTTTGGGGGAAATTTGGGATATTTTATTGCGGGATCCCCGTCTCCATCCTCCCCCAAGGCTCCAGGGATGGAATTATTCCCTCAGAGTGACATTTTGGGGGAAATTTGGGATATTTTCCCACGGGATCCCCATTTCCATTCTCTCCAAAGCTCTGGGGACAGAGTTGTTCCTCCTGGGAAGTTATTTTGGGGGAAATTTGGGATATTTTCCTGTGGGATCCCCATCTCCATCCTCCCCAAGGCTCCAGGGATGGAATTATTCCCCTCAGAGTGACATTTTGGGGGAAATTTGGGATATTTTCTCGTGGGATCCCTGTCTCCATCCTCCCCCAGGCTCCAGGGATGGAATTGTTCCTCCTGGGAAGTTATTTTGGGGAAAAATTGGGATATTTTCCCGTGGGATCTCCATCTCCATCCTCCCCAAGGCTCCAGGGATGGAATTATTCCCTCAGAGTGGCTTTTTGGGGATAATCCGGGATATTTTCCCTTGGGATCCCCATTTCCCTTCTCTCCAAAGCTCTGGGGATGGAATTGTTCCTCCTGGGAAGTTATTTTGGGGGAAATTTGGGATATTTTCCCATGGGATCCCCATCTCCATCTTCCCCAAGGCTCCAGGGATGGAATTATTCCCCTCAGAGTGGCATTTTGGGGGAAATTTGGGATATTTTCCCATGGGATCCCCATTTCCGTTCTCTCCAAAGCTCTGGGGACAGAGTTGTTCCTCCTGGGAAGTTATTTTGGGGGAAATTTGGGATATTTTCCCCTGGAATCTCCATCTCCATCCTCCCCAAGGCTCCAGGGATGGAATTGTTCCTCCTGGGAAGTTAATTTGGGGGAAATTTGGGATGTTTTCCCATGGGATCTCCATTTCCGTTCTCTCCAAAGCTCTGGGGACAGAGTTGTTCCTCCTGGGAAGTTATTTTGGGGAAAAATTGGGATATTTTCCCATGGGATCCCCATTTCCATCCTCCCCAAGGCTCCAGGGATGGAATTGTTCCTCCTGGGAAATAATTTTGGGGAAAAATTGGGATATTTTCCCGTGGGATCCCCATTTCCCTTCTCTCCAAAGCTCTGGGGACAGAGTTGTTCCTCCTGGGAAGTTATTTTGGGGGAAATTTGGGATATTTTCCCATGGAATCTCCATCTCCATCCGCCCCCAAGGCTCCAGGGATGGAATTGTTCCTCCTGGGAAGTTATTTTGGGGGAAATTTGGGATATTTTCCCTTGGGATCCCCATCTCCATCCTCCCCAAGGCTCCAGGGATGGAATTGTTCCTCCTGGGAAGTTATTTCAGGGAAAAATTGGGATATTTTCCCGTAGGATCCCCATCTCCGTCCTCCCCAAGGCTCCAGGGATGGAATTATTCCCCTCAGAGTGACATTTTGGGGGAAATTTGGGATATTTTCCCATGGGATCCCCATTTCCATCCTCCCCAAAGCTCCAGGGATGGAATTATTCCCTCAGAGTGGCATTTTGGGGGAAATTTGGGATATTTTCCCACAGAATCTCCATTTCCATCGTCCCTAAGGCTCCAGGGATGGAATTGTTCCTCCTGGGAAGTTATTTTTGGGGGAAATTTGGGATATTTTCCCGTGGAATCTCCATCTCCATCCTCCCCAAAGCTCCAGGGATGGAATTTCTCCTCCTGGGAAGTTATTTTGGGGGAAATTTGGGATATTTTCCCATGGGATCCCCATTTCCATCCTCCCCAAGGCTCCAGGGATGGAATTATTCCCCTCAGGGAGTTTTTTTGGGATATTTTCCCCTTGGATCCCCATCTCCATCCTCACTGGGACTCCGGGATGGGATTTTTCCCTCAGGGAGGAATTTTGGGGACAATTTTCCCCCGGGATCCCCGTTCCCATCCTCAGCAGGACTCCGGGGACGGAATCGTTCCCTCAGGGAGGCGTTGGGGGAAATCCTCTTTTTCCCTCTTTTTCCCTCTTTTTCCCTCTTTTTCCCTCTTTTCCCCTCTTTATTTTTCCCTCTTTTTCCCCCTTTTTCCCTCTTTTTCCCTCCTTTTCCCTCTTTTTCCCTGTTTTTCCCTCTTTCTCCCTCTTTTCCCCTCTTTTTCCCCTCTTTTCCCCTCTTTTTCCCTCTTTTTCCCCCTTTTTCCTTTTTTTTCCCTCTCTTCCCCTCTTTTCTCCTCTTTTCCCCTCTTTTTCCCTCTTTCTCCCACTTTTTCTCTCTTTTTCCCTCTTTTTCCCTCTTTCTCCCACTTTTTCTTCTCTTTTTCCCTCTTTTTCCCTGTTTTTTCCTCTTTTTCCCTCTTTTCCCTCTTTTTCCCTCTTTTTCCCTCTTTTTCCCTCTTTTTCCCTCTTTTTCCCTCTTTATTTTTCCCTCTTTATTTTTCCCTCTTTATTTTTCCCTCTTTTTCCCTCTTTTCCCCTCTTTTTCCCTCTTTTCCCCTTTTTCCCTCTTTTCCCCTCTTTTTCCCTCTTTTTCCCTCTTTTCTCCTATTTTTCCCTCTTTTCCCCTCTTTTTCCCCTCTTTTTCCCCCTTTTCCCCTCTTTTCCCTCTTTTCCCTCTTTTCCCCTCTTTTTTCCTCTTTTTGCCTCTTTTTCCCTCTTTTTCCTTCTTTTTTCCCTCTTTTTCCCTCTTTTTTCCTCTTTTTTTTCGCTCTTTTCCCCTCTTTTTCCCTCTTTTTCCCTCTTTTCCCCTCTTTTTCCCTCTTTTCCCCTCTTTTTTTTCCCCTCTTTTTCCCTCTTTTTCCCTCTTTTTCCCTCTTTTTCCCTCTTTTCCCGTTCCCGCCCTTCCAGGATGGGACTGTCCCCCCCCAGGGGACACGGGGGGACACGGAGGGGACACGGGGGGACATCCCGGAGGTGGCACTGGGGACTTTGGGGATGTTCCATCACCATTCCAGAGAAGGAAAATCCATGGATTTCTGATCCTTCCGCCGCACGTGTGTGAAATTCCATGGAATTCCAGGAATATCCATGGGAAAGAAGCCTCGGGGTGGGGTGGGGGAATTTCCTGGTGATTCCCGGGAGGAATTTCCTGGTGATTCCAGGGAGGAATTTCCTGGTGATTCCAGGGAGGAATTTCCTGGTGATTCCAGGGGGAATTTCCTGGTGATTCCCGGGAGGAATTTCCTGGTGATTCCCGGGAGGAATTTCTGCCCCTTCCTGATCCCGGATCCCGGGAAGGGTTCCCGGCCCGCGGGACGCGGCTCCTGGAGACGGAAATAAAGGATTGTGGAATTTCGGCGGCCTCCGGGACCTTGGATTTGTACCCGGGAATTCCATCGGGATCTGGGAAAGGAGGATCCTGATCTTCTGGAAGTTGAGGTTATTCCCTCGGGATCTGGGAAAGGAGGGCCCCGATCTTCTGGAATTTGGGGTTCTTCCATCGGGATCTGGGAAAGGAGGATCCCGATCTTCTGGGATCTTGGCTTTGTACCCGGGAATTCCACCGGGATCTGGGAAAGGAGGATCCTGATCCTCTGGGATCTTGGATTTGTACCCAGGAATTCCCTCAGGATCTGGAAAGGAGGATCCCAACCTTCTGGAATTTGGGATTCTTCCCTCGGGATCTGGGAACGAGGATCCCGATCTTCTGGAATTTGGGGTTCTTCCCTTGGGATCTGGGAAAGGAGGATCCCGATCTTCCGGAATTTGGGGTTCTTCCATCGGGATCTGGGAAAGGAGGATCCCAACCTTCCGGAATTTGGGATTCTTCCATTGGGATCTGGGAAAGGAGGATCCTGATCTCCTGGGGTCTTGGATTTGTTCCCGGGAATTCTGTTGGGATCTGGGAAAGGAGGATCCCAACCTTCTGGAAGTTGGAATTCTTCCATTGGGATCTGGAAAAGGAGGATCCTGATCTTCTGGAAGTTGGAGTTCTTCCCTTGGGATCTGGGAAAGAGGATCCCGATCCCCTGGGACCTCAGCTTTGCCTCCAGGAATTCCCTCGGGATCTGGGAAAAGAGGATCCCGATCTTCCAGAATTTGGGGTCCTTCCCTCGGGATCTGGGAGAGGAGGATCCCGATTTTCCGGAATTTGGGGTTCTTCCCTCAGGATCTGGGAAAGGAGGATCCCGATCTTCCAGAATTTGGGGTTCTTCCATTGGGATCTGGGAAAGGAGGATCCAGATCTTCTGGGATCTCAGCTTTGTACCCGGGAATTCCATCGGGATCTGGGAAAGGAGAATCCCGATCTTCCGGAATTTGGGATCCTTCCCTCGGGATCTGGGAAAGGAGGGTCCCGATCTTCTGGAATTTGGGGTTCTTCCATCGGAATCTGGGAAGGACGGTCCTGATCTCCTGGGATCTTGGATACGTACCCAGGAATTCCCTCGGGATCTGGGAAAGGAGGATCCCGATCCCTCAGGAACACGGGGGGATTCTTCCCTCGGAATATGGGAAAATTCCTGTCCCCAATGTCACATTTCTGTCCCCCCCAATGTCACATTTCTGTCCCCCCCAATGTCACATTTCTGTCCCCCCAATGTCACATTTCTGTCCCCAGTGTCACATTTCTGTCCCCCAATGTCACATTTCTGTCCCCCCAATGTCACATTTCTGTCCCCAATGTCACATTTCTGTCCCCCCAATGTCACATTTCTGTCCCCAATGTCACATTTCTGTCCCCCCCAATGTCACATTTCTGTCCCCAATGTCACATTTCTGTCCCCAGTGTCACATTTCTGTCCCCAATGTCACATTTCTGTCCCCCCAATGTCACATTTCTGTCCCCAATGTCACATTTCTGTCCCCAGTGTCACATTTCTGTCCCCAATGTCACATTCCTGTCCCCAATGTCACATTTCTGTCCCCAATGTCACATTTCTGTCCCCCCCAATGTCACATTTCTGTCCCCAATGTCACATTTCTGTCCCCCCAATGTCACATTTCTGTCCCCCCCAATGTCACATTTCTGTCCCCCCAGTGTCACATTTCTGTCCCCCCAATGTCACATTTCTGTCCCCCCAATGTCACATTTCTGTCCCCAGTGTCACATTTCTGTCCCCAATGTCACATTTCTGTCCCCAGTGTCACATTTCTGTCCCCCCAATGTCACATTTCTGTCCCCCCAATGTCACATTTCTGTCCCCCCAATGTCACATTTCTGTCCCCCCCAATGTCACATTTCTGTCCCCAGTGTCACATTTCTGTCACCCCCAGTGTCACATTTCTGTCCCCAATGTCACATTTCTGTCCCCAGTGTCACATTTCTGTCCCCCCAATGTCACATTTCTGTCCCCCCAATGTCACATTTCTGTCCCCCCCAATGTCACATTTCTGTCCCCAATGTCACATTTCTGTCCCCAAT